CATTTCTCCACTCAGAATTTCCACACTAAGAATAAAAGCTAAAGTCCTTTCAAGGCCTGTATGATGCCAATCTCTGTGTCCCCACAATTACCTCAGTCACCAGGTTCATAATCCCTGCTCATTCACTCATCCCAGCCACACAGGTTTCTGCAATTCCCTGGACATACCAGGGAAGTGTGTGGCTTCGAACCTTGGACTTGATGTTTTCGATGTCTGGAATGTGCCTCCCCCAGATATCTCTAGGAATAAGGTCTTTACTGGCCATGACTTTTGCTCTGAGTCTTACAGAGAGTCCTTTCTTTAAAATTGGGAGTGGTTTTATACGGATTTCTTTTCCTTCCAACTTTTCCTCATTCCTTGAATTAGTCTTTTCCTCCTTGGAGCTTTTCACTCTCTAAAATCCTCAAAAGTCTACTTACCTTGCATAGTAATTTTTTCTTCCCATCTCTCTCACCTCTCCCATTTCTTGAAGGCCAGGATGCTGATATGGCTTCCTTCATTTTCCTATATAGCACAATGCAGAATTAAGCTTTAATTAAACATTATGGACTATTTTACTGTCTCAACATGTTCAGGCATTTGCACACACCCTATTCAAACTTCCCAGCTTACCTCAGAGATGAGCGTTGTGATTTACACTTTCCAGATGAAAAACTCAGCAGGTGTAGACCCTTCTGTGGGCAGCAGCAGGTATTGGAATGGGGCTGCCACTGAGGGCCATGTTCATGCTCTCTGTCTTTCTACTGTGCCACATAATGAACTGCATCTGTTTCAAAACAATGGTCGGTTTGTGATGGAGAATATGACAAGTGACATTTTCCTTCTGACCTCTTGTCACCCACCTTACCCTGTGTCCTGTTGTCTTTCCCTCCATCATGGAGCACCACCACTTCTAGTGGGATCAATTATTAATCAAAGCACGTGATTCCCCAATATTTCCTGTGAGTTACTCTTGTGTATGGTCTATGCTTCTGCAATTTGTAATGGTCATAGGCTAAGAAGATACACCTTGGGTCTGGAGCGATGACTCAGTAGTTAAGAGCTCTTGCAGAGAATCGGAGTTCGGTTCCCAGTGTTTACATCAGGCGGCTCACAACCACCTGTGTATCTCCATCTCCGAGGGCTCTGATGTCCCTTTCTGACCTCTGGTGGCACTCACATGCATGTGTACATGCACAAACACGTAAGTAAAGATAAATTAGAACATTAAATTTCCCATGGAAGGAAGAAATTCAATGCTATGAGCAGTAAGACAGAACGGGGGAGGGGAGAACTTAGTGACAAGATTAAAGGAACCTGTCTCAGGGAAAGAGCAGTGAGGGAAAAGCTGGGGTGTTACTAGGGCTTGGAGCAAAGCAGCTGGGGGTTGCTAAGAACTGAAGCAACCCTGGCCTATCAGGAAAGCATCTTGGCTCACAGCCCAGAGATCAAAACCCAATCTGCTCATAGGAGTCTGGTTCAAGTCACAGAGCTACTGTGCTCTGCTTTCTTTGGCCTGGAATAGACTCCTTTAATCTCATTATCTTCTTTATTGCTTTAACTTTTGATGGAAGACATTTGTTTTGAAACAAGATGGGCAGACTAGCGACTTCTCAAGGGCACCCAGAGCTTTACAATCTTATTATATTAAAGTCACTCTATTACTCTAGTCTCTTTTGCATCTGGACCCACCCAAAACAAACTTTATCTTACTGTGGAACATTTACTTGGGAACAATAACTTAGGCCCTTTAAATCAAATGCAAAGAATCTGAAGGACTTGTGGGAAAAAGTTAGAAGTGAGGCTGTGTGTTAGAGCATGTTTGTAGTCCCCGCTACTTGGGAGGCTGTGTGTAGTGGATTGCATGAGCTTCAAAATTCAAGATCATCCTGGGCTGCACGGAATATGTCATCTTAAACTGTGATGATGAAGTTTTTAGACAGCCCCATCTCACACCACCGTATGAACTGGATTTGTGGCCAAGGCAACGGTGTCTGGAAAAGCAGCTTAGGGTGTACTTCCCTGATATAAACAACACACTTCATGGTGTGCACACCTCCAATTGTCCTCCATGGTTTGATGATGCCATTTCTTTTTCTTTATTTTTTTTTTAATTTAAATTAGAGTTTGTGTATATTAGTGCTAGTGCCTGCAGAGGTCAGAAGAGGGCATCAGATCTCCTGGAGCTGGAGTTACTGGTGGCTGTGAGTCACCATGAGTGGGTGTTGGGAACCAAATTCAGTTCTCTGTGTGAGCAAATGTGTTCCTCATCACACAGCCATCTTTCCCACTCTTAGAATCTTGTTTCTTAGTCAGAGCAGAATTACAAAGGACTACCCTTCCTCCAAGGGCATACATTATTCACAAGACGGACTCCATATTCTTTCTATGTGGATGAGACTACTTTGAACTGTAATTCTCAGTTGAAGGCTCCTTTCACGTGTTCTGTAATATTTTCCCTCATTTTTTTATGTTTTTCTTTTATTTCAATACTGCTGTACCTACTTGTAGCTATTAGAAAAAGATTAATAATGAACCAATTAGCTAGGATTGCACCAACTGTAAAGAAGGACCTAATTCATCTTTTAGAACATTATTTTAGGAAGCGTACTCTTACATTCCTGTTTGCATCCCTTTAACAATATTTACTAATGGGCATCTGAGCCCTGTTAGGAAAGTGACCTCATACTACAAATTAAATCTTCTCTTATCTGCACAGTTGGTAAATGTTAGACACATGATTAAAGAGCAGAAGAAAAGGGAGAGATATACACAATAAAGCATTTCTTCTTTTTTAAAAAAGCCAAAGTTTTGGTGCCTTCATTGGTAGCATGCTGTGCATTTTCCTGACTATGGACTCAGGAAATACTCCACTTTTGAAGCAATTATGGCTGGGAAGTCTTCGCATCGGCCACACAGTGACAATGTGTACTTAACACCACCACCAAGACTGCGGCTAGCTTGCTTGGAAGGAGAGAAGGATAGGAAGGGAAAGCTGGGGAGGCCCCTGGTCTCGCACACTCCATGTGTCTATGAGGATGTCAGTGTCTGCTGGCTTCCTGATTGAAGGTATCTTTCCTTAGTGCTTTTTGCACTCCAGGGTTTTACCTTGGGTTTTCTTAACCCATTAGAACAGTGATTCTAAATCCATGGGTTGTGACCCCAATTGACAAGCCTCTATCTCCAAAAATATTTACATTATGATTAGTAGCAGTAGCGAAATTATAGTTATAATGTAGCAATGAAGATAATTTTATGGTTGAGGGGGTCATGACAACATGAGGAACTGCATTTAAGAGTCACATAATTTTAAGGTTGAGGGCCACTGCTTTAGGAATGTATGGTATTGGTAGATTTGGTGTTCTTTTGAGTTAGGCAAATTGTAGTTTGAAAGTACAAATATTTTTAATATGTTAAATAATATTGCTTAGTTGATGATAAATAGCAACATGACATTAAAGGAGCTGTGGTGATGGGGGACCTGGAGGGATCTAGAGTGTGCACTGTTTTATGTCTGAATCTTAGTACTGGGATCTGTTGTTTTATTGAGTCCCAGGGGCGGAACAACAAAATACCAGCTAGAGGTGGCACTGTTGCTTTTTCTGCATGGAACAAGACATTTAAAGAAGCTTCCTTCACTGTATCGCCCAGTAAATTATCATGCATTTCTGGAAGTGAAAAATCCCAACAATGTAGGCCTTTTCTGACAAATTTTAAGATGATAGAAGTTTTCTTTTTCTTCTATTATGTCTAAGTGAACCCTGAGCATCAGGCACCTTCCATTCTTGAGGCAACAAGGGTTTGCAGAGGCAAAAGAACTCTCCAGTGGAACTGAGCAAAGCATCCGCGGAGCTGGCTGTGGAATATAAACTTCCTAGTGTCTAGCTGGTTGGCATCTTTTCCGGTTTTGTTTCTGTTAGAGAGTAAATGTTGCCCAGAATAAAAGCGACGTCTTGAGTTAACTCTAAGTCTGAATCAGGCTGTGTGGGCTGCAGGCTGCGTCTGAGCAGTGGAGGTATTTGTTGCCAGAACACAAATAGCCAGGATGCACAACTGGAGTGGATATGGTGGGGTGCAATGCAGCACTTGGGGGTGCTCTGGAAATATATTGGCACTTCCCACTCTGGTGAGCAATCAGCAGAGGGAGAAGCTATGGTTCCTCATTTTTGAGGGGGCCATAGCTCCTGAATATAAGTAGCAGTGTGTGCGTGCATGTGTGCACACTTGACAGTGTTCATTTAAGTGTTGAGCCCAAGCTTTTCCCATCAACTACAGAGAATTCTGGTAAGACACAAACTACTGCAGCTTACATCTTTTGTCAAATAAAAACTCACGTGTCAGTATGCAGGAAAGAGATGGAGACGTAACGCACACACAGAGGGCCCATAGTTATTCAGCAGTATTCATAATTGCACAGATAGATACATACCATTTAGCGCTGTGCTATGGGATAGCATTATTATTTCTATTAAAACAGGTCTGTGCCAGTATTGGAGAAAGACTTTATTTCTATTACAATGTTTCTGGTGGATCCCATAAGCAAATGCCAAAAAGGAACGTGTGTGTGTATGCATGTGTGTGTATGTGTATGTTTATATATGTGTACATATGTGTGTATTTGTGTGTGTATGTTTGTATGTGTGTATGTATGTGTGTGTAATATACATATGTGTTTGTGTGTATATGTGTTTCTGTGTTTCTCTGATAGCATTTCTCTAGTGTGTGATTATCTTCACAGTAATGGTAATGGACAGTGTGCCCTTTCTCGTGCACAGTGGGTGTGCAGGCAGGGGCTGTGGGTTGCTTGATTTGCTTCTCCTTGTCTTTCACATAAGGAGAGGCATACACAGAGCTGGATCTCCTCAGCTAGGTTTTGTGGTTAGCATCTGTGGCTTGGGTCACTGAAGCTGTGGTGACTCATAGTCTGAGAGGAGATATTAAAGGCAATTGGAATGGGTTTTATGGTGTAAACATGTTAAATTACTGGAAGGTTAAATTACCCACTCAGTTTAGAATTCAGGATGACAGCCGCTGCCAATGTAAATGGAGCCATTGACCGTATTTTACCGTTCAGCCACTGGTTAGGCTTTCATGAAGAGGTCTCCATTCTCCATCCAGCAACAAAGAAATGTCAAATAAACAGCCCAGAGGACTTGACAGAAAGTAGCGAGGAGCTGGCTGTATGAAGTCTCACTTGTGAAATGTAACTCGGATGCTGTACCTGAATCATTTTCATGGTAGTTATGAAAAAAATGGTGAAAAATTTCCTCCAGGAGGCTGGAGAGATGGCTTAGCAGTTAAGAGCACTTGCTGTTTTTGGAGAAGACTCAGGTATGGTTCCCACCACATACTTGGTGGACATTTGGCTCCGTCTAAGAAGTTGTCTAATGGTTTTCTGAAGTCCTGTGTCCTTAAACATTCCCGCAAAAGGTGCCTGAGCATTGCCACTCCCCATCCACTTAGTCCTTCAGGTGTCGCCGTCTCCAGTCACACCCTGTCTTGGTGGTTTTAGTTTGCTGATGAGAGCATCTGGTTTTTATATCATTGTTGGAACTGCAGTTCCTTCCAGCAGAGGTGCACTGAAACTTTTGCCTGTGAATGTATGGAAGGTTCTGTGACCTCATGTTTTGTGTCGGACAAACTGGTACTTTGGTTGTTGGTTTTGAGATAGCGTCTCACTCTATAGCCCAGGTTGGCCCCCAACTCCTCATAGCCACCCCTCCAGCTTCAGCCTGCCACCCAGGGCTTACAGGTATGAGTCACTTTCCCTGACTGACACTGCTATAGTGAAAGGGGGAACATATGATACTCTCATTAAATTTCAATTTCACCTGGCAGCAGTCTGCACCAGAGTAGGGCCGCTTCACCAGCTCTATCTCCTGTAGGCACCGCAGAGCGTCCTGCCGTTCTGTCATTCGGGATGAAAATCTGTTCTGGGCTCCCAGCAGGTCAGGTAAACAGAAACGATCGCAGGACATGCCACTAAATGGAGGACCTCAATTGTTTCCCTAGGTTCCAGATGTCATCAGCAGCATCCGGCAACTTTCCAAGGCTGCCCTGAAGGAGGACTCCAAACCCAGCAAAGATAACGAGGATGCCTTCTATAACTCTCAGAAGTTTGAAGTGCTCTACTGCGGGAGGGTGACCGTCACCCATAAGAAGGCGCCCTCCAGCCTCATTGATGACTGCAAGGAGAAGTTCAGCCTGCATGAGCAGCAGCGCCTGAGGCTGCAGGGCGAGAAAGGTGGTGACCCTGGGGACGAGCTGGGTATCTTAGAGGCTGCATCTCCTGTGTCCCCAGATGACAACCTGCCTGAGAAGGCAGATGGTGCCGTCAACAGCCACCGTGCCCTGCCCTCCCTGGCCAGCCTCCCCACCCAGGCCAGCCAACCCGCACCCCCGACCAGCCCTCGGGTTGGCTTCCCGGAGAGGATTTTGGAAGACTGTGGCTTTGATGAGCAGCAGGAGTTCCGGTCACGGTGCAGCAGCGTCACAGGCGTCCTGCAGAAGAAGGTTCATGAGAACAGCCAGAAACCACAGCCAAGAAGGAGGCATGCAAGCGCGCCCAGTCACGTGCAGCCCTCGGATTCGGAGAAGAACAGGACCATGCTCTTCCAGGTAGCCCGGCAGGGTGATTTTAGCCTGTAGCTTCTTAAGATGCTGAGCAGCTATAGCTAGCTCCTCCCTAGTAGCAGGTGTGTGCCTGTGTGCATTTGTACATGTGTGTTGCCCACATGTGCCCGGGTGTATGTGGAGGCCAGAGGCCAACCTTTGGGGACCAGTTCCTTAGGCATCATCTACCTTGTTTTGTTTTGAGGCAGGGTCTCTTATTGGTCTGCAATTCTGGAAGTATGGAAGGCTGATTGGCTGGCAGAATCCGAGGTATTCACATCTCTTCTTCCCAGCATTGGCTATACTAGCACTCGACTGTGCCCTGCTTTTAAAAATACAAAACAAAACTGGGCTCTGGGAATTGAGGGCCTCTTGCTTGTAGTTGAGGGACTAAGCCATCTGCCCTGTAGTCCCGTCTCCATCTGCCAGCCTTCTCTTTCTGCTCATTCCGGTAGCCACAGTCAACACTTCTGCTCTTCAGATTTTCTCCTTCAAAAGCAGAAGAATCAGATGGAGGACAGACATGTCATGGACCACAGGGAGGCAGAGAGAATGCAAGACTTCTCTTAGAATCTGCCGCAAGTCATGTGACAGAGCCTAGGTGTCCATCTCCAGCATCTGGCTTGGGTTGATTATCAAATGCGTTCTTCAGTAACGCTACAGAGTCTTAGTGATGATTGTAAGGCGTGAATCTTGGAAAGCAGGCTTTGGCATGGGGCAGAGCAGAGAGAGAGAGAGAGAGAGAGAGAGAGACACAGAGAGAGACACACAGAGAGACACAGAGAGAGACACAGAGAGACACAGAGAGAGACAGAGAGAGACAGAGAGAGACAGAGAGTGAGAGAGAGAGCTTGGTTCCAGAGACTTACAGACGTCATTCATACACACACCAATGTACCAGAAATGGAGGAGTAAAGGACACCATTGGCCTGATGATTGACTAGATCGATTATTAATGACTTGCTATAGCTACATTAAATGTAAAAGATATTCCTGCATATGTGAGAGAGAGAAGGGGGGAGAAGAGGGAGTTTATGGTGTGTGCACATATGTCTGAAACTGATGCCAGGACTCATGGCAGCCTAACGTGAAGAAGTTAGGTTTGGCCTCTGTCACTCTCTGCTCTGTTCCTGTGGGGCAGGGCTTTCTCTTGAACCTCGAATTCTTTATCAAGTAGGCTGGAAGACAGCAAGCCTCTTCTATCTCTTCTGTTTGCCTCCCCCCATCCCCCCAGGGGTGACATTACAATGCCTCTAAGACCAATGCTAGCTTGTTAAGTGACTTCTAGGACCTGAGCTCAAGTCCTCATGTGTGCACAGCCAGTGTTCTTGACCACTGAGCCATCTTTTTAGTCCCTCTACAGGATATTGTTTTTTAAATTTAAAATAGTTTAAAATTTACAGGGTTATGGAAACCATCATTTCACTTAAAGAACTGAATATATGATACTGTCCTGGAGGTTTGTAATTAGTCTGCGGCAGATCTGGGGCTTGCATTCTTTGTTTTTGTCATTGTCTTGTCCCATTCCTGTCTGGGTTTGTGGCAGAGTGGCTCTGGTCCTTTGTGAGGTGATGTGTGAAGTCAGTTTCCCCTCTTCTTTGCACTGCCAGACTTGTTCTCTGCTGCTCATAGTTCTTCTTGTTAGCTTTTTGGAATATCTATTTTCCAAAAATTTAACTGAGACCAGTTCTGCATATATCATTCTATTGGCTCTTTTGGTGAGAGCATCTTATTATAACGACTCAAGGAAAGATTGAGTATTAAAAAAGGTTTCTTTGGATTGATTTATTTTATGTATATGAGTGCTTTGCCTGCATATATGTATGTATACCATGATCCCGCCTGATACCTGCTGGGGCTAGAGGAGGGCATCAGATGCCCTGGAACTGGAGTTATGGATGGTTGTGAGCCACCATGTGGTACTAGGAATTAAACCCGAGGCCTCTGCAAGAGCAACAAGTGCTTTAAATTGCTGATCCTGCTCTCCAGCCCCAAGTGGCATATTTTTGAAAATGAAGTCATTTCTTAACTGCTAAAGAGATTTGTATTCTTTGGCTTTCTACAATTTAAGGGTTGCTTAATTTTCTGACCGAGGAAAGAAATGATTTGAGACAGCTGCCTTTAGGTTGAATTATATGGTGGAACACACGTGAAATAGGTTCATCTGGGTCACATTGCTTGAACCACCATTGTTGTATATTTAATTGCTCAGTAAGACTGAGGTCCTCGTGAGCTGAAGTGATTGGAGTACTTTTCTTTCCATTTTAAGGTTGGCCGCTTTGAGATTAACCTCATCAGTCCAGATACCAAATCCGTTGTGCTAGAGAAGAATTTCAAAGATATTTCCTCTTGTTCTCAGGTATGTCATCATGCCCAGTAGGGTATTTGAAGAAACCAATTGTCGCATTCCAAAATTAATCCCACAACAACTGGCTTCCATATATTACATCTTATTATTTTAAAATTAAGTGTTTTTATTTCTCTCTCCCTCTCTTTCATCTCATCTCCTCCCCACTTTCCTTCCCCCGAGGAATGGTCCTAGAACTTTTCTTATACCTACTGGCCAGTTGCTCCATCACTGAGCCCAAATTTAAGAGAAACAATGTTTTAAAGAACATGTGCCCCTTATAGTTAAAATGTGTTCACGTGCTTGGCTCTATGGCAACAGAATCTTTCCCAGGAACCCGAGGGTCTGTCACAGCATTTTCCCTACATTTCCCTCAGCTCTTTGTCTTAGTGATGTTTCATCAAATCCCTTCCGCTGGTGGGAGTTTTGTGGTGGTGAATTCTTTTGAAATACCACAGTTAGTATTCCTCAGACTGTTGGGCTGTGGGTCTTGTGGGTGTTACCACGATAAGTATGTTCTTTATCCCACACCAGGGAATAAAAGGAGAAGTAGTTGCCAAAAGAAGAAGTCTGTTGCCAAAAATGGTAAATTTTGATTTCCAAAAAAAAAAACCAATAGAGATAAATGTGTGTAATATAATATTAGTCACAGATTATAGTAATGTTTTAGAGCATCTACCCCAAAGTTTGAGCTACCTGAATATATCGGAAACATGAGGAGAAAATTTGTACCTGCCAGAAAAGGAGGTGTATTTAATTTAATATGTGGAAAGCTTACATATTCAGAGACACTCTGTGGGACTGAGAATTACCTTTTGTTTCTGGCCTGGTAACTTTAAGTACATTCAGGAATGTATTCTTTACAGGGTCCCTTACATCCTGATGTTGAAAAATCAGGCTGGAGAGACAGCTCAGCCATCAAAGACAAAGGGTCACCCTTCTACCCAAGAAAGCCATGTCTTTGTAGTATTTTCTCTTTGAGTTTTGGAGTCATTGTTGCTCTTGTTGTGAGAGAGTTTCTTTTGATGACAAGGATTTTTTTTTGTATGTTTTCTTAGTTGTTTGCTTTAGCTAATACACTTTTATTTTTAACACCTGTAATAGGAAATTTTGAGTGATAAACATTTTCTACTAGAGCAACTTAGAGGCCTTTGAATCCAGGAAGGTTATATTAGGAACTTTGAAATTCCTACTTAAGGAACACAGAAATTTTGTGGGAATATGAACTATTCATTAAATATTCTTGCAGTTGTCTCTTTATTGGGAGGTCCCTGCAAGATCACAAGCCTTGAAGGAGTTGGTGGCTTATGGTGTGAAGACGCCTTGTTTGCTGGGACTTTTGACTCTCATGTATTGAGATGGAGCCCTTAGGTGCTCAGTACGTGACCACTGTGAATAAGCCTGTCCCCGTAGCTGGCCTTGTGCCAAGTGCTGCAGCAAAAGTGATGTGTAACCCAAGTTTAGCTCATACCATACTGGGCTCCAAGGAGCATCGTTGAAGGCAGCACCTCCTACCCCCCTTTCCTAAGCTGCCCAGGGAGCATCCATCAGTGTGCATTGATTATCCCAGGGAATGTAAGCGCACTCAAAGACAAAGAGTAGATCCAAACCAATCATGTGAATGTGAAGGTCCAGTATGGTCTCCTGTCCCTTTTGCTTTTATTGAGGACAAGCTTTGTGCTATGAAGTTATGGTTCAGGAAACAAACAGTCAGCAGCCAGAGGGAACCTGGTGGGATGGCTTCAGTCACAGCCCTTTCGTCCCCTTCTCCTTACCACTCCCACAACTGCCCGGCACCAGATGACAAGGTGGCTGTGTTTATTTACTGGCCTGCCTTACACCTACAAACCTTTCTATTTTTGAAAGGAAAGTGCTGTCACTGTTTACTGGTCATCAAGGGGTTCAGGAAGTTTTTTGTTTTTTTTTTTTTTCTTCTGGAAGCATTGTCCACATCTGAAGACCCACTGAGCTAATAAGACCCTGTGAGGTCCCCCACTTAGTCCTAAGCCAGTGATAAAAGCTCTTTCACCAGACTTGTGCAGATGGAGCTTATTTTACAAGACTCACAGTCACAGCCTCAATCCCCTTTGCTTTCCCCACACTTAAAAAACAAAACAAAACAAAGACAGAGTTGATTTCTTTTTTTCATGTTCATTGGGTAGATTGTGTATATTATAACAAGAAAGGACAGGGCCACTACTGATAAAACACTCTTGGAACTATCATAACCATTTTTCACTTCTAGATTCCACACCTTCCTCACAGTTGGTGATGTTATGCTATTTTTGTTGTTTTTTTGTTTTTCGAGATTGGGTTTCTCTGTAGCTTTGGAGCTTGTCCTGGGACTCACTCTGTGTTATGCTATTTTGTATTAAAAAAACAGAAACAGAGCCTCAGAGACAGCAGTCAGCCACTCAGCACCGTCCCTCATTCCCCAGTCAGTAGCTGAGACAAGGCTAAGTGCAGGTCTGACCCTACAGACTCTTGATTGGCATTTAGGTGGCGTCAGGCACACTTCGTATTTTCTGTCAATCTAGTTTTCAGATCTCTGTGCTTCTGTATCCAGAGTCAATGTTTACATCTAAAAATTATTTTGAAAACATATTTATTGATTATTAGTGTGTGCTAGGGCACACGTGTAGAAGTCAGAGGATAACTTTGCGGGATTGGTTCTCTCCTCCCACCTTTGTGCAGGCTCCGGGATTTCATTCAGTTTTCCAGGCTTGTGCACCAAGTGCATTTACTGCTGAGCCATGCCATCAACCCCCAACCCCAGTGACTTGTACTTTTTCTGACATTCTTAGCTTCCCATAGACTAGAAAAGGTTTTGTGGTGAATCACTCACTACCGTGCTAGGACAATACATTGAAAACTCATTACAGGCAAACATCGTGTTTCTGCTATAAGAAATAATGGATGATGCTGGCAATGTTTTTTGTTTTTAATAAAAAAGCAAAGGTTGTGAGTGTGGATGTCCTCTTTACCTGCTGCATCAACAGGGCATCCTGTGAGAGTTATGTCCTCTGTCACATGACATTATGCCTTATGTCACATTGCCGTGAAGGAGAAATCGGTGGGGTTAGGCAAGTGTAGAAATCATGTCGCTCTCTACCAGGGGACATTCCCACGAGCACTGCTTGTATTGTGTTTTTTCCTGTCATCTAGGGAATAAAGCATGTTGATCACTTTGGCTTTATCTGTCGGGATTCTGCAGAGCCCGGGCTGAGCCAGTACATCTGTTATGTGTTCCAGTGTGCCAACCAATCTCTGGTAAGTGGGGCTTCCAGTGCTTCTCCAGTGGATCTGCCCATCTTACTCAGTACTCGGTGAGCAAAGAGAAAGGACATCTAGAGAGCTGTTTTTACCCTGGAAGGATGCGTTGAAGTCGAGAGCCACAGACAGACATCATGGCACTTATAAGTGTGTGTGCCCTTGGCTTCAATGGACTTTACTGAGCTACCATGTTTTGTTTGTTTGTTGTTTGTTTGTTTTTGTGAGGGAAGACTAATGACAGAGAAAAGCTGTTATATTTCCTGTTGCTTTGAAGACACTGACAAAGGCCACTGATCTCTTGTTTATTGCTGTGGTGTCACAGATTAGACAATTTCCCCCCCCCCCCCCCGCCAGTTTCTAATTATCCTGTTTTAAGTTTTCATACACATCATTTATTTATTTTTTATTATTTTATTATTTTTTTTTTTGGAATTTTCAAGTCAGTCTCCTCCTAGCCCTCCTTACCTCTTTCTATTTGAGAAGAACTGTATAAGGCGGGCTTGGAAATACATCTCACCAAGAAATACGTTGACTTTTTTTCTTCTTGAAATATTTTTCTGTTATTCCACACATGCAGGCTTCTCAGTCATTGTTACACAAACATTCAGATGTGTACATCATCATTATTAGATGCGTTAGTGGAAACTATTCATTTTTGTAATTTTAATATGTGAGTGTGTGCATGTTTGTGCGTGCCAGTGGTTGCATTTGTCTATCTGTGTGCCCAAGTACACGCGTGCCTGTATGAATGGAGGTCGGAGGACAATCCTGAGTGTTATCTTAAGAAACGATGTTCATCTTTTTTGTGCTCACCATTTAGGCTAGGCTGGCTGGCCTGGGAGCTCCAGGGACCCTCCTGTCACCCTCCCCAGCATGGGATGGTAAACACATACTACCACACCAAATATTTTAACATGGATTTTACGGATTTAACTCAGGTTTGTGAGGTAAACACTTTATCAAATGAGCTAAACCCCCGGCCAACCACCACAGTTTTTGTAAACATACAAGCCTGCTATTAGCATTTCCCATATACGATTATTCCAGGCCACAGTGTGCATGCTTCCTGGTGCTTGTTACATTTAAGTCTGACTTCCATGGGCCTGATGAGGACACTGAAATACTTGAAGACCTTCAAGTGAACCGGCACAAAGGCATTTTCTATCCCTGTCCTCTGGGGTCTCTAGTTTTTTTTGTTTGTTTGTTTTGTTTTGTTTTGTTTTTTAAATCTAGGGAATACGAAATGCCTGTTCTTAGCAATTTGTTATTCTAGAAACTTCCATTTGAGCTTCATTTTCACTCTAGACAATTAATGTCTTCATTAATATCTACATGTACCTATCCAGGTGTGCCCTTTTAGCTAAATGGAAGCAGGAGTGAACTTTGAGGGAGTTGTCCTTAGCTGACTGTGGTGGAGAGCTGGTGACAGCCCTCACATACCATGCTCACAGTCTTCTCAGTTAGGTCAACTCTTTTTCTTGCTGCCCTTCATGTTTTTGAACTCTAGATGACAGACTGATCACATTGCTCATAAGGGCAGAGGCTATCACAGACCAGGGACAATCAAATGTGTTCATGACATCTCTTTCCCAAGAGGAAGACCTTGGTAAGACCCATTTATTTGGCGTCTTGTTTACAGGGTTTATTTCATTTTTAGCGTTTAGTTGTTTTTTGTTTGTTTTGGAAACTGCTAATGATGATAGAAGATGTGGGGTTCCTGGCCTTTCGACATCCATCCCCTGTCTGGGGCTGCAGAGCATACTGGCTGTGTGCCCTCCTGTCCCATGAGGCAATATCAGGCTCAACTTGGGCCTCATTATTCTTAAAAATAGATCAAAGCTAAGATCTTTTAAGCCCCCACTGTTCGAATTTTATCAGTCAGTTTTTTAATGTGGCACCAGAACTGAAAGTTAGAAGAGAAAGATAATGTGCACTTCCTGTGTAACAGAGGGTAAGCTCAAGCCCTGGCAAACAGAACAGAACAAAACAGTCAAGTCAGTCATACCTGTGCCCCAGCTTGAGGAGTGATGTGGTTTGGCGGTTGGAGAAGACAGTCTTCCGAGACCACACATGCTGACTTGTGTTCTCTGAGTACCGGCTCCACACTTACCCTTTCTTTTGCTTCTTTGTAAAAACCGTAATGAATTCGTAAACTGTGCAGTTCTAGGATGGGTCCTGAAGGGCTATGAGCAACTTTAGATGCTGCCCTCCCTCCCTCCCCCTTCTCCCTTCTTTACTTAGGGAGGCAGCTAATACTGTTTCACAAGTGCTTACAGTTTTTGGAAGATATCATTTCTTCACAGTACTTCCTCCAAATTGATTTAAAGATTATAAGAAAGGCCATGGCCACTAATAAACAACCCTCCTAAACTTCAACACACATAGAAAATAATCTATGACAGTATAATTAAAAGTGAAAGTACATGTATGCTATTCCAGATTCAGACTTTATATGAACTCAAGATTTAGTGAGATGAGAAGAGTACTATTTCTAGTGAAATATTGGCGTAGGGACAGAAGAATGAGGTACACATCCTACAAGTTACCTTTCTCTCATATCTGATGTGAATGGCACTTGGAAAATTAAATCTTTAATATATAAAAAACAAGCAATATGTGGAGAATGGGTAAAGGGACAGATTCAAATTTTGGGGTTGTGTTGTAAATTGGAAGGAAGAGAGGCATAGGATTCATGAAATGGGACTCATTTATGGAAGTTTCTTATTTGAAGAAAGTGCTAGTATTGATATCATTTGGTCCCAGATAGGACGGATGGGACTTGACTGTGCATGTGAACAGTGGTATGAGCATTCGAACACAGGATGAGTGTGGCGATTCCTAACTTCAGCCTGACACATAGAGGACACTCCATTATGTAGCTGGTTAGCCTCTTAAAATGAGCATTGCCTTTTAGCAGCAGTTGTTAGAATGTCAGTATTCTACCTTGAAAAATTAGAGGTGTTTTCTAGCAAATTAAGACTAGATGGTGTTCAGTTATTTTCATCTACAATTTAATATAATACTTAAGTTTGGTATATCTGTAGACATTATCTTCACTATGGATTGTCCTATTAATATGAATGAATTTTGTCTGATGGCATGCTGTTTGGTGAGATGGGAACTGTGCCAGGTGCTGACTGCCAAGAATACCTGCATTTTGTTTGTATATGACTGACATTTCTGCCTGTCCCTTTGCCTCTGCCCTTTTGATGACCTGCGATTTTTTTTTATTGTATTCGTAGTGCTCTAACTTGAACTTTTAAGGTATTAACCTTGTGATAGAATTTATAGGGGATCTGAAAAAGTGGTGGGTTTTAGAAAAGAAAACACATAATATTTTGTATAACAGATGGAATTTTCAGTAGTGTTTGTGGTAAGGAGAGGTTAGTAGTCACATTTCAGAAACCATTGAAAGGGCCTGTTTCATCTAGAGAACGAAAAGAAAACATAAACATCCCATATTTCCACAGAATACCTTTCACAGGGCAAATTTAATGTAATAAATACCACACATATGCATACTAATTATAGGTAAGATATTCACATATGCTATATATTTATGTAATATATCTATATCTATATCTATCTATATATGCACATATGTGCTATGTACTACCAAATCCATTGCCAGCCCCACCAGTGTCTGACATAAGTGAGAAATAAGAAATAGAATAAAGGAATTTATGCATAAATAATTCACCTTTGAATAGAAACTAAGTAAATGGCATAAAACTGTAAAGGCATTAAATACTTTTAATTCTAAAAATGAGAAATCTTTATTTTTAACTGCAGTATAAAGTGACATTTTATGAAAAATTTATTTTTATTTATAGAGTGCTGTGAAGTTATTCCTATGTTTTTCTAAGGCTGGTCATACAATGAAAAGTAACCACGATGGGTGCTTGCTTAGGGTTTTGAGGTCTCCTTTCAGTTTCACTATGCTAGTAGAATTTCTTTGTATCTGGGGCTCCTCTCCCATTCAAATGCAGAAGTGGATCAATATTCTTTCAAAACAGCTTCTGCTTAAACCAGACTGTGGGGGAAAAGGGAAAGTGGAACAAAACCAGTCCACTAAGCACGACAGGTGGCTTTGCTTACCAGACTGGGTTGGGATGCCGGAATCCTACATCTCCCCTTCCCTTAGTAGCCTTGTCACAGAAAAGGTGACTGAGGAACAGGAGGAGTTACCTGGTTTCAAAGGAGCAAAGGAGACAGTAGATAGCTGAGTCAATGCTGGGCCATCCTGGACTGCTGGCCCTGTGGTGACAGCCAGCTCTTGAGCATGTAGATGTCACAACTTCGACTCACACATTGTAAGTAAAATGACAATAAGTCAGACAGTGTAGAAACAAGGCTAGCGGTACTCATAGATTTCCCCACTGGTACTTAATTGTTTCCCCTCAGAACTGTCCTCAAGCACAAGTGTTGTTTGCTTTTATACTAACAGGGCCTAGAAGAAAATGGTGCCTATTAACACAATTGAACATTGACTTTAATTTGTTGTTCCCAATATATATCCAAGGAAACTTCCAAAGACATGTTTATCTGATAAGTCATTTAATTAAGCAAAGACTTGATCTATTAATTAAGCTGTCTGTGATAGTGTAGCCGCCCGTGGGACTTGAAAATAGCATTCAAGTAACAGCTCTGTATTATATGCCACGGACTGCAATGGTCTTTTCATTCAGTTTTAATTAGATGGATGAAAGGTCTGACTTCAAGACTTACCGTTTGCTCTCTGCCAGCTCTGCTAGTCATCACAATTCTATTATTTATTATTTAGCCAGCCATCTATAAAGGCTCACATTGCTGATGTTTTTTTTTTTTTTTTTTTTTTTTTTTTTTTTTTTGTGTGTGTGTTTCTGTGAAAGCCAACTTTTATAGACCTGTTTACAGTTCTGTTTCTTCTTGTAGGTGGATGAGATCATGCTGACTCTCAAGCAAGCTTTCAGCACGGCTGCTGCGCTGCAGAGCGCCAAGACACAGATCAAGCTGTGCGAGGCCTGCCCCATGCACTCTTTGCATAAGCTCTGTGAGAGGATCGAAGGTATCATTGAATGTGGCCTTGGCATGGCAGGAGTTTGCTTTGGCATTTTGACATGCTGAAGTCCCCACTGTCATTGAATAGTTCTTTGTTTCACTGTGAGCAAGAACCCCAAAGGCATTTCTCTTGCCCAGTCAAACCCAACTGTGCTATCAGTGGCTTCTGTGTGCTTGACTTTCTCTCTGTCTCTCTCTCTCTTTTCTTCTGAAGGCAACGGCTTGCATTTCCCACAGTTCTTAAGACCAGTTATGCATGTACACAGTGGGAAGTGAGCAAACATTTGCTGAAGGATGGCAGACAGGCAAACTCACCTCTGACTGTTCAATTCTTCCTCTTCCCCTCTCACTTGGCGATGTTCTCTTTTATAACTGTAGTGAAACCTGCTTGGCTCTTCAGGGTCTTTGGAAAAGCTAAGATAACGGAGGTAGTATCAAGAAGCAAGTCTTTTGTTTTTTGTTGTTTTAAAAAAATCTGTGCTGAGATGCACTGTGGACCAAGCAGGTTGTGCTGGGGATGCAGAAATGTTTGCCACATACTGTGTCCCCACAAACTTTAGTTTGGAGGAGAAGGCAGGCATGTGAGACTCAGGAAATGGATAGAAACAGGGTGAACTCCACAGTGAGGCTGACAGACTCACTGCAGATTCTAGTTGTAATTTCTATCCCATAGGCTCCAAATAAGTGTGTGCTAAGCTGTAGATTTTGTTGAATATCCACACAACTACACAATCTAAAAGTATTTCAGTGCAACATTCAGGTTTTAAAGTTTCTAAGGGTGATTTTACAGAATGATATTACATTAAAACATGAAACATTTCATAACTAAAATGTAGTGTGTGTGTGTGTGTGTGTGTGTGTGTGTGTGTGTGTGTGTGTGTGTGTGGCTGGTGAAGGGAGCATTATAAATCCATGTGGGAGGTTGTGTTGTGTTAGATTAGTTAACTGTACAGAGGGAGAGAGAGTCCTGCCACTTAACTATTTATAGAATAGTCTAACTGTATCAAAGAAAGTCCTCAGTGTAAACAAGCCAAATAATGAAAGCATTAAAAGAGAAAAGCGTTTTTATTTCTGAAAGAGGGAAAACTGTATTCAGATACAAAAAGCCAAAAAATGAAAACAAATCAAAAAACATTAAAAGCAATCATTAATACCTTGGACCCTACTCATCCCAAGAGTTTGTTTAACAGTATACTGCTTACTTGAGAGTAATGGTATGCGGATTGGTACCCAAACTGGCCAAAACTCTACAAATAAGATAAAGGAAGAATTACAGAGGAGGTTTTGATTTCCATTTTCCAAACACCTCTCAGCTGGCTCGCCTATCTTGATGGTAACCAGCAGCTCTCGAATTACACTTAAGATCCTCTCAACAAGAAGGAAACCATGGCTGGCTCGGGAAACCTAGCTGTCTTACCAGTGTTCTATTGCTTTGAAGACACACCATAACCAAGCATTTAATTGGGGGGTTGCTTACAGTTTCAGAGATTTAGTCCATCACCATCATGGCGGGAGCATAGTGGCTTGCAGGCAGATGCTGAAGGAATGGCTGAGAGCTACATCTGACTCAAAGTCATGGAGAGATGCTGGGCCTGGTGGGTTTTTTTTGAAACAGGGTTTCTATGTAGTCCTGGCTGTCCTGGAACTCACCATGTAAACAAGGAGGGTCTCTGACTCACAGAGATCCTCCTGCCTCTAGCTCCTGAGTTCTGGGATTAAAATCGTGTACCATCATCATAGCCAGCTACATCCTGAGATTTACTGGTAAATGAAAAACGAGTTTACTGACTAGTAGAGATAGCATATTTGTTAAAAGACAAGTTGAAAAATCTTTGATCTTTTGTAGAATTCTTTGAATTTCATCCCTATTGCTTATGTCTTCTGTAGCACAGCACAATGATCAGAGCAGGAAGTGAACATCAGTATTAGCTGGTCTTCAAATGTTACCCTCATTGATCGTCACCAGTTTTCCTTTCCTTTCCTTTCCTTTCCTTTCCTTTCCTTTCCTTTCCTTTCCTTTCCTTTCTTTTTTCTTTTTAAAAATCCAGTATCCAATTCTGGCTCTACAGTATACATAGTTGATGTTCTGCTTTGGTGTCCCACAGCTGGCATGTGGCCTTTAGCCGCCCAGGGATGTGAATTAACATCATAATACGTCATCCGAGACCCCCCTTTTCTAATCTGAGAGACTTCTTTTTTTTTTTTTTTAAATCTGAGAGCCCCTTAAGGAGCCCTGGCCAGCACATGAGAAGCCACAGTTGTGAGTGCTTCCTGCCATGAAAATAGTTTCCTGCGTTCTCTGTGTGACTCTCTACAGAATCTGTGTAGGCTTCAGAGAGAAAGGTGGGCTGAGAAGTTACTGCCTTGTCCTTGTTCACAGAGTGAATTACGACAGCTGCAGTTGTAGCCAGGCCTCCATTAGCCAGTTGTGCACGAATCCTGAAAGTCATGAACCATATTCTACTTTTTTTGGGGGGGAAACAATTTTTAAAGGGCTATTTTGCCTTGCTATCTGCAGAGATCGGGGTAGTTTTCCAAAAGTAAATAAGATGTAGAGACCGGGGAGGTGGCTAAGTGGTTCAGTTGCTTTCCTTGCAAGCACTGGGGACCTACATTTGGATCCCTAGCCCCCTTATAAATGGTAGCCATGGTGGCATAAGCCTAGGGGCCATTGCTAGGATGGAAGGGGGCAGAGACAAATGTGTGTTGGGGGCTAAGTGGCAAGACAGTGGAGCTGGAGCTGAAATGGCATTTCAAAAAGAGGAGGGAGGAAGAGAGAAAAGTCATCTGAGAACAAGCTCAACTGCCACAGTGCATGCACGGGCTCACCCCCTTCACACTCAACATACACATGGCTAAAATGTGAACAGATCTCTTTGCTTCACTGAGCTGCCACTTTGCACTTTTGGAGATTCAATTAGAAAGCTTGACAGTTTGCACACACACACACACACACACACACACACACACACACACACACACACGCAGTGTTTGTATTTAAACTGTTACACCAAATTAAGTAATGAGAAAGTATTTTTAGTCAACTGCTTTGACTTATTCACTGTAAACAAAAATAATAGATGCATGGAAAACTAAAATTATGGTTTAATGTTGTATAATATATTTGCTACAGCCTGAGAATGATAATACCATTTTTAGTTTTTACATTATATTTTTTATGTATTTGTTATGTGTGGGTCCTCAAGTGCCATAGCATACATGTGGACTTCCGATGACAACTTGGAGGAGTGGCTTCTCACTTTCTGCCGTGTGGTTTCTGGGGCTCGAAGTGGCAGCAAGCACCTTTACCCTCTGATCCATTTTGCTCAATGCCAAATTATTTAAAAAATTGCTAGTTTGCCTAAAGGTTTATTACATATTATATGTAGCTAGATGTCTTCTTTATAATCTAAATAGAGGGGCAATACTTAAAATGACCCTTAGGCAGCCCAGCAATGAGGGTGCTGGGGTGAGGAGGTCTTGTGGCTATCTTGGGCTACAAAATGAGACTGTCTCAACCACAACAACAACCAAGAAGTTGGAAAGATTTATAAATATCACAATACAGAGAAGTAAAACATTTCCTGGAATAATTACTCTACATAAGCTTTATTCTTTTAGAATGAGAGCCCCAGAAGGGGGATTATGCCTGTTTCGGTAGTTCTGCATTTTAGTATCAGTATTGTCAGTTTATATTTATGATCTGAAGCTAGAGGCTTAGCAGTTTTGGTCAAGGCTAGCCTTTAACTTTCTTTCTCACTTTCTAACTAACACAGGCTCTGAGCTGGCATGTTCATTCCCATGGGAGTTCTCATAGTGTTCAGTTCGTGAGTGACCAGAAACCGGATGTGCTTGGTAGCATTTGAGATAGATGCTCACTCAGGGAGGGTGAAGTGTCATGGCCGGTGCACACTTAGACCTCTGTAGCCAGCCTCCACCTCATGCTTCCCTCACTTTTCCTTTTAGGTCTCTACCCACCACGAGCCAAGCTGGTAATCCAGCGACACCTCTCTTCACTGACCGATAATGAGCAAGCTGACATCTTTGAACGAGTTCAGGTAACACTCTTCACAGTTCCCGTAGATAAATATAAGGGACAACATTGGGTCCTGTTGTTGAACTCTCATTTCCATTCCATTGCCTCTAAGAGATCCAATCCCAGGGTTAGCGGAATGGGAAAGCTAGACTTTCATGCTTTCATGCTTTCATATCCCTCTGGACATATACGTCTAACTGAGCCTACTGCAGGAGGAGAGAAGTTGCTCTGCCCTGCTATGCCCTTGCTTCCTCTGTTCAACAGAAAATGAAGCCCATCAGTGACCAGGAAGAGAACGAACTTGTGATTCTCCACCTGCGGCAACTCTGTGAAGCCAAGCAGAAGACTCATGTGCACATCGGGGAAGGGCCATCGGTGAGAGCCAACTGTCTCCTGGCTTACATCTGTGTGCATATTCATTTATACCTATAGTGAAAATATCACCAAGACACAGAAGAAATTGCTTTCCTTTGCGCTCTCCTCTGTTTTAGAGTGAAAACCTATCATACTTTAGAGATTTCAGCCTTTATAAAGTTTATGGGAGAGTTCAGCAGATGCTGGCACATTGGGATAAAATCATTAGAGTTTCAAGATGTAAAATAATTTTTGGTATTTGGGTAGGAAAAAAGACATTCATGTATGTTCATGATGTACAATATACCTACTTTTAAAATTACATTAATCTGTGTCTTTTTATATCCCTATGCCTGTTTTATCTGAATGGTAACAGGGATAACCTACTTTAAAAATTCTGTTAATCTATTTTTTTTTTTGTTCATAGTCCTATGCCTATGGTGAAAAGCACAGCAGTCTTGTGTGTGCATGACTGTTTCTGTTGTAAACTGAAGGATGGCATGTCTGTTCCCCTGGCTTTGAACGTGTCTTCAGCTGCACAGTGTTAAAAAACAGACAACAAAAAACTACCACTACAACCGCATCAAAGAAGTCCCTTGCCTGTGTAGCTCTTTTTTTTAAAACATGTGTCGCTCTTAAGGATGCATAGAAATCCTGGTTTGTATTTTACTGCACTTTTTGCATAAGCACTCAATTTTGATGTTGAGACACTTGAGATGTAGCCCAGGTTCCCCCCAATGCAGGATCATCCTGATTCAGCCTCTCCAGTGGTGGAATTGAAGGCTCATTTGGCTTGGCAGCCAAAGCCTCTGCTTCTGTCTCTAAGACAGTTTGCTCACTTTGAGTGTGCATGAGTGTGTAGGTTAGAGGAGTGTGTGCAGGAGTCAGTTCTCTCACCCTGCAGACATCCCAGGAATCCAACTGGGGTGGTCAGGCATGTAGCGAGTCATCCCACCCTCCCCACCAAACGTGCTGGGGATGATCAGGAGTGGTCCTTTGGGGCCTCCTGGATGGGCCTGAAGCCAGCAGCTTTCAGAGATGACTGCTCTTCTGGTCTCTGATTTCCCTGACCTTTGCAAGGTTTCAAACATGTCTGGGAGATAAATTCCCCTAAGATGCCACTGATGCCTCTCTTCTGATTTATACCAACATTTCCCACATTTATCTAGTGTTTGAGGCCCACTCAGGGTTTCCCTAGCCTCACCTTCCCATGTCACCAGAGGACTGCAGTCGGATAAAATATACAAAGTACCTATCCGTGGACACCTCACTGTTTCATGTTTTTGGTGAAGCTTTACTAATCTGAAAAGTACATGACCATATACAAATAAAAATGGAGACTTTTCTTAAAAAAGATTTATTTTTTTGTGTGTATGATTGTTTTGCCTGCATGTATTTCTGTCTGCGTGCGTGTGTGTGTGTGTGTGTGTGTGTGTGTGTGTGTGTGTGTATGCTCGAACACACACACACACAGAGGTTAGAAGGGCCCTGGATCCCCTAGAACTGGAGTTATAGAAGACTGTGAGCTGCCATGTGTGTGCTGGGAACTGAACCTGGGTCCTCTGCTAAAGCAACCGGTACTCTTAATGACGGAGCCACTCTCCAGCCTTGAAAATGGAGTTTAGCAGGAGCACCATTGGCCTGCAGCTTGGTTTACAGAGTGGGCTGGTCTTTGAAACCTATTGTCTGTCCCCGGTAATCCGGACTCATAACAGACACCTCAGAAAGGGCTGGTGGTAGCCAACTGAAAAACAGCTGAAAAAATTGTCATTCTGAGCTTAACTTTTGGTAAATGGAGTGGGGACATGTGAGTGAAATGGAAAGGCACAGAGAGAAGGTTTTAGTTCTGCCCTTGTTATTCCTTACGATAGTAAACTCCTTTCCTTGTAGTCTTTGTGTTCACAGTGCGGAACATAGATTATTACTTCTTAATTGGTTGCTTGCATTTTAACGCTTCCTCCTAAGCCTTCATTTGAAGCCTCATTTAACTTCCCGTGTGTCTGCACTATAACTCTGCTGCTTTTCCTCTTCTAGATTATTTCAAACAGTACAATCCCAGAGAATGCGACAGGTGGTGGGCGGTTCAAGCTTGACATTCTGAAAAACAAAGCGAAGAGATCCTTAACTTCCTCCTTGGAAAATATCTTCTCTAGGGTAAGACTGAACTGGGCTATCTTAGGTAAACTCATGTTTTCTGCTTCATTTGCGATCACCTCACTGAAGATTTCCCAGTGGTGGTGGTGAGGAACCTGTTAAAATAACTTTAATTTCTCTAACACTGCAGTAAGATAATCTTGTAATCCTTGCACTTGAGAGGCAGAGGCAAAATTGACGTTGGTGGTCAGCCAACTACATGCTGCACTGTGTCTTAAACATATCATAAACAAGTTTCCTTGTAAAGGTTTACATTTGTGCTCCGGCCTCTGATATCTGAAGTCAAGTCATGGAGATTTCTAAGTAGAGGCAAGTATGTATAGAAGGGGCGGGGTGGGGGAGCAAATCCGAATGAGCAGTTTCATAAGAACTTTCAAGATTTCTCTATCTCATAATGTTTTTAAAAATGTCTGCTGATGTGGAATGCTCCTATGTACCTGTGAATGTGTTTTATTACTATTGGTTATTAAAGAAGCAGATTTGGCCAATAGTCAGGCAGAATAGAGTTAGAAGGGAAATCCAAACAGAGATACAGAGAGAAGGAAGGCAGAGTCAGGGAGATGCCATGTAGCTGCCAGAGGAGTAACATGCCAGAGCATTACTGGTAAGCCACGACCACATGGCAATGCACAGATTAGAAGAAATGGGTTAATTTAATTGTGAGAACTAGTTAGTACTATGCCTGAGCCATTGGCCAAACAATTATAATTAATATTAAGTCTCCAAGTGGTGATTTGGGAACTGGTGGGTGGGAGTGAAACTTCCAGCTATGGTCTGCCTTTATTTTACCCATTATTAGAGGCTGATATAAAATGTTAAGACAGTATGAAGTAATGGAAAATTTTGTATCCAATTTAGTAAATTTATCTACTTCATTTAAATATTAGCAAAATGTTTGCCCCTGTACTTCACTTCCCTCTTTCTGAATCATGAGGTCTTAGCATTGGGCTGCCATGTTCATGAGGTGAGTGTTACCTGCTTGATACAAAAGTCAATCTACAGCAGGCAGCTGCCAGGAGAGGAGGGTGCCTGGTCTGGGGGGGCCTGAGTGGTGAAGGAAGGTATTGTATCGAGCATTCTTCCCACCAGGCTGGTCCCACAGCCATGGTCCAACTGTCCTTCTCAGCTCCAAAGAGGCACATGGAGCTATATTAATTATAAAGCTGTTGGCTGATGGCTTGAGCTTCTTATTAACTAGCTCTGTCTTAATTACTAACCTATTTCTATCAATCTATGCATTTTTACGTGGTCTTGACTTACCGAGGAATCCTGGACCTGCAACTCCTATGCCTGCTACATCTGCATCTCCACAGAGAAGAAAGCCATTTCTTGTTTGTCCCTGCTTATATCCTGATTCTGCCCAGCTACATCACTTCCTGTCTGGCCAACCAGCCAATCAGTATTTTATTCATTAACCAATAAGAGAAACATATATACAGAGGGACATTCCCCATCAGGGTGTAGCCTGTGAAGAGAAGTCTGGATGGGTATAGAGGCAGAGGGGAGGAGCAAGCATTCACAGAGAGAAGTGCCTTTTGCAGGGAAGTGGAGTCTGGGCAGGGAGCTGATTCCAGTGGGGCTGTAGTAGCCTCAGTGGGGTGAAGAGAGTTAACACCACATACAGGGCAATAGACCCAGTCAGAGGATGGCCATATGTATAAATATACTAATGTTCATGGCATCTATGAGAGAAGGGAATTGAGGATAGGAAAAAGGAGGAATCATCAGCATGAAACTGTGCTGAAATGTACATGCTGTATATAGCCCTTGATTTTGTCCATTAAGAGAGCCTGGGGGCAGCTTTCCTGTCCACACTTGACAACAAGCCTTCTTGGGTGACATGTAATTTCTGGAGTTTGGTGTCTACATGACAGATAGTGTTGGGCCACATTCATGACTGTCATGGGTTACATGTTGTCTATGAGCTACAGGTTGGACATACCTGTTATCCAAACAGGCTTCCTCAGACTTCCCTCATTTTCTTGACCTTGATACTCCTGAATTCAGCTGGCTTGCTGTTTTGTATGCTTTCCCTCAGCTTGTGTTTGTTGACATGTTCCATCATTACACTCAGGCATGGCCTCTGCAGCTGTTGCACCCCAGAAGTAGGACCATGTTTGTTCATCATGGCAGATGGCAAGGACTTCAGCCTATGACTTTGCTCATGCTGGTCAGAACCTAGACTGCCTGTTATTATGAGTGTGCTATGGTTTATCTCATCCAAAACTCATGGTGGAAGGTAGCCTCTATTAGGAGACAATAGGAGGGGGACTCTTTTTTTTTTTTTGATTTCACAAATGGCATTTATTTATTTATTTATTTATTTATTTAATACAATTTTTTTATTTTATTCAAATTAGGAACAAGCTTGCTTCAGATGTCAATCCCTTCTCCCTCTCCCTCCCATTTCTCCAACATCCCACCAGCCCCTAGCCATCCCCCCTCCACTCCCCAGGCAGGGTAAGGCCCTCAAAAGGGGCTCCCCAAAGTCTACCACATCATCCTGGGCCAGGCCTCGGTCCTTAGGATGGGGACTCTTAATGGCATGATCAGCCTTCACATGACTAGTTGATGGAAGGGTTAATAGGTTAGCTCTAAAGTGGGGCTGCTGTCACAGCCAGGTTGGTCAGGTCTGTTATTCTTCCTCTCTCAACATGTGAAGCTCTGAATCACCTCACCACTTTGATAGCAGGAGGGTAAAAACCAGATCTGACCCTTGACCTTGAACTAGAATTATGAGCCCAAAGTAAACTTTTCTTTGTCAGTTGCCAGCCCCATGGCCTGGTGTTATTAACAACAGAAAACAGAAGAAGACACAAAGAATAAAGTTCTTCCCCTTTATTCTACTTCAGTGTGCTATGGGACCGAGGGCAGTAGCATACCCATTGCCTTGGGATTTGATGAGCAGTAAGTTAGCATATGCACAGACATTGCTTGAAGCACTGCTTAGCCTGGCTGTTGTTACTGTCAAACAATGTTGTATGTGCCATTTAGCAATTAGCTCTGAACTATTAGATGACTATAGAATGTATGTGCATACATATGTATGTATGTCTATTTGTCTACATAGTCTACATATCATCTATAGATTATCTATCTGTCTGTCTGTCTGTCTGTCTGTCTGTCTGTCTATACATCCATCCTAGGCCATTCCAGGTAGCAGTTTAGTTTTTTTTTGGGGGGGGGGTTGGGGGAGGAGCCTATTAATACAGTTCCTCATGTTGTAGTGACTCCCAACCATAAATTATTCCATTGCTACTTCATAACTGTAGTTTTGTTAGTTATGAATTATAATGTAGATATCTGAACCCTAAGGGGTTCGTGACCCACAGATTAACAACCACTGATCTAGGAACTTGTCAGTCATACAGAAGCCTGGTCTGACCTCAGAATTGCTTCATCAGAAATTCTGGAGTCGGGTCCAGTAGTGTGGACTTTGACAGCCCCCAAAGTCACACTGACACAACTTCAAGTTTGAGAGCTACTGTTCCAGACAAGTATGATGCTTGAAGCTCTGACATCCATGTAGGGGATCGGTATCTGCCAATGTCAGCTGCCAGAGCAGAACATTGTATTTATCAACAATTTCATTAGAATGACTAAATAGGTGGTCAGGGACCTGAAAGGAAGACCTGACCTTGGCAGATTTTATAGCTATGAATTTGGGCAGTTTCATTTCCAAGTCAAAGCTTAATTTCTCCACTTATCAAATGTGCATTGCAATACTTAGTTACATTATAAGTTAGCATTGTGAAAGTGCCACACTGTAGATAGGAGGAGGGTATTCTCTGTAGGCTGGAAGCTTGGTGTTTACAAAAAAGCTGAAGGGCTGCCCTTACTCTCCATTTAGACCTTGGTGCTGGGCAGTCTTTGCCAGGCTGACTTTGCAGTGTCTCTTCTGCATGCCTTGAATTGCTTCGATAGCTCTCAGCAAGGACACAGCTAATCTATTTTGGTTTCAGTGAATACTGTAGCTTTTGTGTCCTGGAGTGGTGACAAATGCTATAAATGTGGCCTAACAAGGTCTTGGGTGCTTCCAGTGTAACAGAAGGCTGGCAGCTCCATCTGTCTGATAAAAGTGGGACAGATCTAAAGGAGTTTGTGTTACACAAATATTTTTCTGTTTGGGTTGTGTAGTAGGAAGTTCACCCCAGCCTGAGTTTAGGCCACAATTGCTTTCCAGAGTGAAATGTTGCTGTTTATGAGATGGGTCCATGTTAGAATTACTTAGAAGCTCAGCTCATAAACACTAAAAACTGGGAGTACGGAAAATGGCTGGCACAGCATTTACCAAAATTGTCATTCGGTAGAACTGAGAAAGCTGTGTGTGTAGAAATTAAAGATAGAACCTTGTGTCTGGTTGTTTATTGCTGTTTCTTGAGTTTCCAGAGCACTCACCAGTGGAAAGTATGATTTATTTTGAATACAGCCCCCCTTTTCCACTCTCTTTAGATTAATGTCCATTATGTGAGGAGAATTAATGCTTGTGGTAGAATTTAGTTTAAAGTACCTTTATTTTATTTTACATGAACACACACACAGTCATGGATAAAGCACCACAAAGAGCAAAGTACATGATTTAAATAGTTTTGTTCATGAAAATGTTTTGGCTCTGTACAACTGCTTTCTCTAGTGTGACTGTTAGCTGTTGAGACACTGGGCAGGTTGACAGGTAAGTTTCAGCTAAGAGTCCCAGTCATCAATCTGCTTTGCTGATTGTCTCTGAGCTACACTAGTAGTTTATTAGCTATAAATATATTTGATTATTAAACATTTGCTTGCTCTAAAGCAGGACTGAAGGACTTGAACAACCCCATGAGGAGCTAGGCATTTCCGAAAATCTGTTTTAGTTGTAATTCCATCTTCCTTCTGTAAGGCCTGACCACAGAAGGCAGCACTGAGAAGGGGCTCAAGGACTCACTTTTTTTCTTGTAATAATAATATTACTTTTTAAAAAAACTTTTATCGATTCTTTGTGAATTTCATATCATGCACTCCAATCCCACTCATCTCCCCATTTCCCATATCTGCCCTCTGCCCTTTCAAGCTCCCCACAAAAAGAAAAGAAAAAATCTGCTTATGGAAGCTGTGGTATGTCATAGTGTGTCACACAATATACCCTTTTACCCACACAACTTTCCTTGTAAATGCTCATTGTAATGAGTCACTGGACTGTTTCTCCGCTCCTGACTTCTGCTACTCTACTGGATCCCCACTGGGACTCCTCTTAGATCTCCTGCTGTTGCCCTGTGTCGTGGAGATCCTATAGCTTTGATTTTGCATCCTGGCCCCTTCACATGCCGAAGCAGCTCAAACATGGGGTAGATGTTGGGGTGGGCCATCTCAAATCCCTGGATCTGGCCTGGGTGATATAGCTGAGTTGGTCAGCCCTTGTGCTCCCAGGGCCAGCAATCTCACTTTGCCCAGTGAGGGGTGGAGCCAGCTCTTCTACCGGTGGTAACTGGCAAAGGGTGGGTGGATATGTTAGAGCTAATGAGCATGGTTTTCTAGATCTAATGGGCTTATAAAATACATGTGAGATCAACTGAGTAAAATTCATGCCAAGTCACTGTAAGAAGTTTCTGAATGCTTCTTTAAAAGGTGATGTTACCCTGCGCACTGTAGAACAAAGGACACTGAGCAAGGCTAAAGAACGATGAAGGAAAGTTTCCAAACATCCAACCGAACTATTAATGAAACATAAGCATAGAACAGTGACATTTGCAGATATGCAAATTAAAGTGAATTATATTGCAATCTCCCCTTTCTCAGAAAGTACCTGGTGAATGTGTGCCACCAAAATGAGGAAGTGAACTGAAAAAGGGGAAGATGTGATTCTAATGCCATGGGGGTCAAAGGAAAATTTTAGGTTGATGGTGAAGAGGGTACCAGGAAGACCTGTAGATGGAGTCCAGATCAGGGCAGGAAGACAAACATCTCGATGATGCTGCATTCACAGATGAAGACTGTAATTGGTGGATCATGTGTGATGTTTGACCACACTATGGTCTGTTGGCAAATTTTGTGATTGCTGAATGAAAGGTCATTGACACTTTGAAAAAGGAGAAGACAAGACACAAACTACAATCAGATGTAATCATGGTAACTGTGTAGCTTAGCTGCAAACAATACTAATAAAGAAGGCAGGATAATCAAAGCAGAAAGCACCTATTTAGTGGTGTGTGTGTGTGTGTGTGTGTATGTGTGTGTGTGTGTGTGTGTGTGTGTATGGTGAAGCAAGAGTACTTGTTTCATCATCCAGATCTTGTCTGACCTAGAAAGACAAAGGGATATTTCTATTGGAAGCACTGGTATAAATCATTCCAAGACTTGCGTTTGGGGGTAGGGTTGGAAGTGTGAGAGAAGAGGGTAATAGGTAAAACTTTTCTTTATAAGATTGGCTAACAAAATTTGACTGTTAGGCTGTGGTGTGGGTGGCAAGCAGAACTGGTCCCATTGTGCTGCACCTCCATGTGGCCTGCAGTCCCTGGTTGCCGGCCATGGAGCGGGGCTCCAATGGTGCTGCTGCATCTGGTCCTACTGCCATGCACAAGGGCTAGTCACCTGCAGCCTGTGGCCTGTCCAGGTTCCTTTAGCTGCAGGTGGAGTAGCCGCTGCACCACCAGTGCTCGTGGTAGTAAGACATCCTCATCTTCTACAGTAAAACCTATCGCAATGTGCTGGTTCTGGATGGTGTCATTCAGTGTTGTCCCAGAGAGGAATGAGTTCTCCTACCAGGAGATGATTGCCAACCTGCCTCTCTGCAGCCACCCCAACCCACGGAAGATGCTGATAATCGAGGTGGAGATGAAGAGGTCCTATGGGAAGTGGTGACACACCCCTCTGTGGAGTCTGTGGTCCAGTGTGAGATTGATGAAGATGCCACCAAAGACTCTAAGAGTTCCTGACTGTCATAGTCATCGGCGACTCCAGCTCAAAGCTAACCCTCCATGTGGGCGATGGCTTTAGTTCATGAAACAGAGCCAAGATGCCTTTGACATCATCATTGACTCCTCAGATCCCATGAGCCCTACTGAAAGCCTCTTCAAGTAGACCTATTACCAGCTCCTCGTAAGACAGAACTCAAGGAAAAACGGCATCCTATGTTGTCAGGGCGAGGGCTGCACCTGGACCTCATCAAGGAGACTGAGACACTTCTGCCAATCTCTCTTCTCTGTGGTAGGCTGTGCCCACTGCACCATCCCCACCTATCCAAGCAGCCAGACTGACTTCATGTTGTACAGCAAAAACCTGAGCACCAACTTCCATGAGCCCATGTAGGAGCTGACACAGGCCCAGGTGGAGCAGATGCAGCTGAAATACTTTAACTTGGAAATGCCCTATGCAGCCTTTGGGCTGTCTGAATTCACCTGCAAGGCCCTAGATGACAAAAGTGGAGCCTAGGTGCCACTACAACACCATTTGTGACCTCAATTGGACTGGATCAAGGAGCTTCCAAAGTGTTTGGGGTCCCAACCAGCCCTGGACCAGACTCCCAGATGACTCTTGCCCACCAGCCAAGTGTTACAATCCCCAGAATGCTGCCTGGCCTGCCCTGCTGGGTGGACACAGTCTCTGTGTCTGTCTGTCTCTGTGGCATTTGACCCCTAGCCTATACCATTTCTGTCCAGCACTGTCTATGCCCTCTGTCACCCAACAAAAGAACATGTGTATTTATAACAAGCTCATTTTTTTGACTCTTGAAACTTTGTACAGGTATTACTTTGATGAACAATTAAAATTTAATTCCTTCTACCCCAGCTCCAATATATATATATTCACTATTTAAATATATATTAAAATATATCTAATATATGATATATTACTATATATAAACTATAATATATATAAATAGTGAATATTTTGGTGTATACTAAAATAGCGAATTCTCTGAAATGCTGTGATTCTCTTCATTTTGCAGAGGTGCTATTGCATACCTCACTTGTGTTTCTGGTCACCCCTGTTAATCCTTTCTGAGTTTTTAATGCTTCACCTTTTAATACCCTGTGTATGATATGATGGGCTTCCCAAACCACTTTTGTGTTTCATTCCTTCATTTGGCTTCTTCATATGCATCGTGAGAGGAATAGATAGTATTCTGTTATGTCCTTTTTACACTGTGTTGAGATGTCCATCCAGAACCAGTTTATTAACAGGGACATTGACTAACACCTAACCTGGTAAAGTGAAATGATTTATTGACATTAGCAATTTTTTATAGAATAATTAATGAACCAAACTTAATAAATTTTAGGAGGCCTTTTTGATGTTGGTTTGTTTTACTCTGGTTTCTGTGCCGGCTTAGCCAAAAGGCATTTCTTGACACAAGACTTGCCCGGGCTGGTCTTGACCTCACAATGAAGCTCATGCTGGTCTCAAACTTGGAATTACCAATCATCCTGCCTCAGCCTCCCAAGTCCTGGGATTACATTATTCCATTTTCACATGACTTTGTTATGTGAACTGTGGTGTCTATGAAATGTTGTGTGGATGGTATGTATAGCTTTCTTGGTGTCTTTCAATGTTCTGCCCACATTAGCATTTATTTGTCTGTGAGGTCAGAGTTAATGACACTTTCACTGGTCTTGTGGTGAGTAACCTTCAAGACTGTAACCAAAACAACTTCAAAAACCTCGGTGTGCCATGTGGTCATGTAACAGCTGAGTTAGAGACACTAGAAGTCTGGAGGAGTTGCATACACCATGCTCTGATGGCCATTAATACAGCTGACAAGTGTGAGTGAAACAAGGGGACTCGTTAAATGCTTAGGTGAAGTGAAAACTTAGGGTGGCCTTCTGTTTTCACCTGTAAAACTCAAGCTGTAGTGATGATTCTGTGTGTCTTCTCTCTGCACACAGGGAGCAAACAGAATGAGAGGCCGGCTGGGAAGCGTGGACAGCTTTGAACGGTCTAACAGTCTTGCTTCAGAGAAGGTATCTAGTCATAGTTCCCTAGTTCACCCAACACTGCTGCTTAGCCACAGCTGTGGGAAAGCGTGCATGCCTAATTATTTTGTGGTGAGATTGTTTTTATGGCCTTTAAGAAATAAATACTTGATACTCTGTTTGAAATAAGATTCTGGGTATTGCCAATTTGTTTTTCACCCAGCTAAGTTCCCATCCGTTGGGACAGGGTGCAGTGCATCCTTCGTTGGCTAACTCTGCTCTTATGTGTTGCACTGGGTATACTATTTGAGCAACTGTTGACCTAAAGCCAAACAAACTGAACCACCCAATTAACAACCCCCCCAATCAGAGACATTACCCCCCACACACACAGCTTGTTGTTATTCTTTCTCCATGTTACTTCTTTTCCTCTTTTTTGTTTTTCCTTCATTTCAGCTGTAACACCATCCTCTTCTGGGTCACAGACAGCCCTAGAGAGGGTTTCCTGTTTCCTGTTTTCTGCATTATGCAACTAAGGACACCATCAACCTTTATTGTCCTAGTAGGAAAAGACAAAAGTACTTTCTATTAAACTCTTGTTGGCACCAGAGACCTAGTCCAGCTATGTGTCTTATTTGCAGCCTGGCTCAACAAGCCAGATGGTTTATTTATCGTGGTGCATACCTGACAGGATTGAAAGATTTATGTTGTCTCTGCACCGGGTGGGAGAGGAATTCCAGAAGGCTCCCTTTTGTTCATTTCCTGTTTTTCATGTCTTTTCAAAGGAACTTACCACAGGCATCATGCCACTGGGTAGAAATATCCAGAGTGCAGGAAGATAATTCACAGGCTTTACTTTTCTTTCCCCAAAAGCTTTGCTTCAAGCCCCAGATACTAGGGCACTATGATATTCTTTTGACATTACTGGGAACATGCAGATCCATAGGTCACAGAGATTAGGAGATCGCTGAACAAAGGCTCCGCCTCTTTTCCCCGTCATGGCCTCTTCATGTCTCTGACAACAATGGGAAGAGTACAGTAGCCCTAGCTTCTTACCACAGTTCGCCCTCAGGGGAAGAGTACCTTTTATCGGCCTTTCACTTTCCTGCCTATCTTTTCCGATGCTCTGTGACACCTGCTTATCAGCAGCAGCCGGTTGTGGTGAAATAGACAGATTAGTCTTCACCAGGGTTGAGTAAAAAGAAAAACAAAACAGTTTTGTCATGAGTCAGGAAGAGGGTTCCTCTGTCACTGCTCAGCCCTGAGTATCTGTGTGTCTGTCATGAGCCTGGTAGGGGCAGACACCTCCTGGTTTGTGTTGTAGGACTTCTCACCAGGGGACTCTCCTCCGGGGACACCACCAGCCTCCCCTCTGTCCTCCGCCTGGCATGCTTTCCCTGAGGAGGATTCTGACTCTCCACAATTTCGAAGACGGGCTCACACCTTCAGCCACCCACCTTCAAGTTCAAGGAGGAAGCTGAACTTGCAAGATGGGAGGGCTCATGGCCTAAGGTCCCCTCTCCTGAGACAGAGTTCCAGCGAGCAATGCAGGTAGGTCCTGGCCTGTCCCCCACCATGGGACATAGTCTAATGTCATTTTGTTTGTGTCAGTGTGGATTGTGTTTCATGCTTTAGCCAGCTTTTTGGGTTCAGAAGGAGCAGAAAAACAAGAAATGCATTTTGTTTTCCTCAGTGGAGGTTTAGATTAAGATGTACCCTGAAAAATTCTCAGACATTTTAAATGGAAGCTTTTAATTTTTTATTTTGCTCCACCAAAAAATAGAGAAAACATGGAATGCAATTATTTTGCCTGAAAATGTATTGGCACACATTATATCCTGTCTTTTTTAATGCTGGCTCTGAGGGAGTCGTCAGCATAAATGGTCGAACCTAGAGCCTCTTGTCAGCCTGCAATAATATACTAGGTTGAGGGGTCATCTAAGTTCCCTTCATGCAGGAGACAACATTTGGCTGTGTTTTATTGCATAACAAATTAAAGCTAAGTGTGACAACTACCACACATTTTGCTTAAAACTGTATCTACAAAGGAGACTATATAGTTGCAGGCATTGTCCATTAGAGTGACCTTAAATAGTATTAAAAATAATTTAAGAAAATTGCTTGTTGTCAGGTATGAAGGAGTAAGGTACAATGTGCAGCTTCTGACCATTTAGCTCAAATTCATGTCTGGAAGCTCCTTTTTTTCCTCTTTCTTCCCTTCGTGTTTCATGTGGACAGCAGGGTTGCCTATCTGTGTGTCAGAGACGTTAATAAAACCGACGGAAAGTAGAACATCTTGTAACGTGGCCAATGTTAATATGAAGTGTTATCAGATTTGCTTTCATGTTTTTATCATGTTGTGCTCTCACGATATGATTTTCATTGCTGTTTTCTGATTGATTTGGATTCTAAAAACCCAATAGATTATAAAACACACAAGTTACATAAATAAAGAAAATCAAAGCAATTGTCTTCAGATCTTGTGTGTGGTTAGATTTAGTTTTCATGTGAAAACCAAGATTTTACAAATAAAGATTTCTCTTATTTTTACTCAAGACAATAAATCTCTTCCCCCTCAGAGGAAATTATTGTCAAGAGCAAAAGGGGCCAATCCTTTTGAACTGTAAATGATGTCCCTCTCAGTTCTGACCCGTATATTGTACCGTATACATTTCAATAATTTTTATTACCATCAGTATAAAAAAGGTGCCATTTATGTTCTGTGAAAGCATTCTACACCACGAACTTGTTTACTTTTTTAAAAAAAAGCCATGTGGGAGACTCAGTGCTTTGGATGAACAGTGCTGCAGGTCCACACAGGAAATACCCTGAATCTAATGTTTGGTGAGCCAGAGATATTGTGTATGATGATCGACATCAACCCAATATTTGTCTACAAAGATTCAGAAGGGATTTGTATCTCTAGAATAGTTGATCTTTGTACTATTCATGATCGGTTTACTCTCTAGAAATTGTTTTCCTGTAACTGTTTGTGTTTTCCTATCCTGACCGTAAGTCTGTTTTGCATGTAAACATGCTTTTTGTTCCCAAAGTGTTAAATACAACTTGCGAGAGAGTGAAGCCTCAGTGTAGACCTAGGTACAGGACTGCATGCTCCTGTCCTTAGACTCTGTGCAAGCTCCAGCTCAAAGCCTTTTGGGCAAAGAGTAAACTAATAGCAAGAACATGTTCCTATGCTTTTTCTTAGTAAATGAAGATTTTGCTAAAAAGCTAAATTTTAAGATGAATTTGCTGTATTTTCTGTACTCAGCATTCTCCCGTCAACCCGACGCATGCACAAGGAGAGTAACTCTTCCTCCAGCCTTCCAAGCCTTCACACTTCCTTCTCCGCCCCCTCCTTCACTGCCCCCTCTTTCCTGAAAAGCTTTTACCAGAATTCAGGTAGACTGTCCCCACAGTATGAAAATGAAATCAGGTGAGATGGGTGTGCTGCTTTCAAAGTGCCATTTTCTCCGGTGATGCATTGCGAATGTTACTAAAAAGTGGCCGGTTAATGTTAGAGTGACCCTTGTGAATCTGTGTGCTTGTTTTAATCTGCTTCTAATGTATCGAGCTTGACTCCAATTAATTTGATTAATAAAAATCATTAGAACTTGTAGTTACAAAGCTTTGTGATGATGTGACTGTATCTTTTTGAATTAAGTTTTTATCTAATAAATGCCGTTATTTGCTGTCGTCCCCAAATCTAAACTTTGTGATGTTGAGAAGGTACCATTATGTAATAAGAAGGCCTTCCTTAGTCTTGCTTCTATTGCATTAGTCTCTGGGTATATCTCCTGCACCCCTAAGCAGCTTGCTTACAGGATAAGTGCAATATCTGAAAGTACATTGAGTATCTCTGAGGCCTTTCCTTGATTTTTCTCAATGAAGGGCCTCTGCTCTGAGACTCACTGTATGCTGCTAAGTGATGTGCTCAGGATATGTGTCAGTGGATACTCTCAGAACATGAGAGAAATCTGAACCTCGTAGCTTTTCTTTCAGTTTTTGTCCATGTGGTAGAAAATTTACATAACTTTCATGTCACCCCCTTTTCAAAAAATTACATACTGTGAGCTTTAGAGTACTGCCTCTGTGTGAGCTGAGATCACATTGGCTATGAAAATACTATTTGGAGTGTTGTCAGTCTCTGGGGCATGGTATGATACTTCTAAAGGGATTGCTGTTGGCTCAATAATATGAATTTCCTTCCTGTTTTTGTTTCTAGATTGACTCATTCATTTTTACAACTGTCTAGTATTCTGCAAATATGACATGGTTTATCTATTTCCTTGTTGATGGACCATGCTGCTTGTTTCTAGTTGCTTGATGATGGGCAATCCTTGTAGTCAAGTAGAGGAATTCATGCTGTCAGTTCTCATGAGTGCCACTGATGCCTTCTCAAATACTCTTTTGTTTTATTTTCTTTTAGATGTAAGATATTCAAAAATTTAGAATTTAAGTAGATAAACCTCATTAACTAGTTACATTTGACACATCCTAGAGTTATTTCTGAGTATTTTTTGACTATATGTGCTTATTCTTTGCATTGGATTAGTTCAGTGTGCTCAAACAGAATTCTATTCCTGGTGACATGAGGTCAATGAAATAAAGAATTTTCAGGGGAATGCTGTGGGGAAGCCTGCCAAAGAGAGGATGATGTAAATGAATTCTGCAATGAGCTTAGAGAACCAAGAGTCTCCACCATCTCCATCCCTGTCCTCTCCTCATCACAGCGTCTCCATCACTGTCCTCTCCTCATCACAGCATCTGTCATCTCCAACAGTTGCCTCTCACTGGAATGTACCACGCAGCAAGTCCATTGATAGGATTTAACTGCTGCCTTAGTTGAATAAGCATATAGGGAAGTCCAGCCTTCTTCCTTAAATAGGAACACACCCCCCATGCCAGTCAGAAATAGCCATAAAGAACCTGAAAGGTTATCAGTAACTGATTGTGGACCATAGACATTTTTGGATGTTGCCCTACATATTTAAAGGTTCCTTCCATTGTTTACTTTGAGTTTGTTGATTTGTCTTTAGGAATTCATGCTTATTTGTGTGTTTTATTTTTGGTGGTCACTTCCCATAGCCCCCATATCTTATGTTAGTGGAAGGATGCTGACATCACTAGGCAGAGTTTTCTTTGGGAAAAATTCATTATTTAGTTGCTGTGTCATTTGCAGTGCTGTTTTTGAATGTGTAGAAAAGTCCTCATCTTTCAGAATACTGAAGATTGTAAGTAGTTTTAGATGTTATTTTCAATTGTGAGAAATTCTAAAAATCAGAGAATAGTTTTCCCCAAATCTTTTTTCTTTTTTGAATTTAAATTAAAAACAATCTTATTTTACATATGAATCCCAGTTCTCTCTCCCTCCCATCCTCCCATCTCCCCATCATCTCCCCATCCCACCCCCCATCCACTCCTCAGAGGGGGTGAGGCCTTCCATGGGGATTCATCAAAATCTGTCATATCATTTGGGGCAGGACCAAGGCCCTCCACCCTGTATCTAGGCTGAGAGAGTCTCCCTCCATAGGGAATGGACTCCCAAAGCCCATTTGTGAACTGGGATAAATACTGGTTCTACTGGACTGCCCAAGTCACCCAGCTAGCACCCAATTCAGGGCTCCTAGTTTGGTCTTATGCAGGTTCCCCAGCTGTCAGTCTAGAGTCAGTGAGCTCCCTCTTGCTCAGGTCAGCTGTTTCTATGGGTTTCCCCAATATGATTTTGACCCCTTTGCTCATTACTCCTCCCTCTTTACAACTGGACTTGGCTCAGTGCTTAGCTGTGAATCTCTGCTTCTGCTACTGGATGAAGGCTCTATGATGACATTTAAGGTAGTCATCAATCTCATTATAAGGGAAGGTCATTGTAGGTAGCCTCTCCACTATTGCTTAGCTCCTTAGTTGGGGTCATTGTTGTAGACTCCTGGGAATTTCCCTAGTGCCAGGTTTCTAGTTAAGCCCATAACAGCTTTTTCTACATGGTATCTCCCTCCTTGCTCTCCTTCTCTGTTCTTCCCCCAACCTGACCTTCCTGATCCCTCATGTTCTCACCCCCTCCCTTTCCTCCCTCCTCTCTCTCCTACCTCCCAACCCCTCCCCCCACCGAGCTCCCAATTTACTCAGGAAATCTTGTCCCTTTCTCCTCAGTGGATCCATGTATATCTCTCTTATGGTCCTCGTTTCCTTGCTTTTCTGGGATTTTGAATATTAGACATAGAGCGAAGGATAACTAGCCTAAAATCCACAAACCCCAATACTTTTAATTTAATAGCCTAGAGTCAATAGGTCTGAAGTACAGTTTGGGTAATACAAACCCTTAAACTGTTTTCATTTAGAAGCACATTAGCCCTAAACACACAGAGCAGTGGCTCACATCATGTCACCTCTCCCCAGGCCATAAATGGAAGGACATCAGAAGCCTGCTGTCAACCCTCATCTCCTAGGTCATTACCTCTTCTGACCTCACACAGCAGAGCCACACTATAAATGGGATGATAGAATATCCTCTATTTCTGCATCTGTCTTCTGCTAACATTGTTTTGTGAGAT